CAAAAGTTAACGGTCAGTGAGTCTAGTATATACATGCCACATTATGATTGATCGTTGTTATTTATGTACCTTATTTAATCCCCATAGCTTCCTGGAAGGCAAACGGTATTACATTTTTGTGGTGAATGCGAGGCTTATAGAAGTGAAGATTTGCCTGAAATAACACACGGGGGCTAGGGCTGGCAGTTCAAGCCGCATCTGTCTGCTACTTTGTGCCAAGAGCTTTGTTGAAAACCCAGGCCCTCCTGAATCCTCAGTTTGTGCGTGCTGTATGTGTTCAGTCAGGCATTATTTTAACATGGGCCAGAAATGAGCAATAATGCATCCTTAGGCATCTCAACCTCAACATTAATTCCTTCATTTGTAAAATGAGGACAATAATAAGCCAAATCCAGTGCTCAAGGCTTAAGTGTGGCTCCGTACATAGTAGTCGCTACAGTGAGTGTCTCTCTCTGCCACCTTTTCAGCCATCATGATTACTTCCACTTCCCCATTCTGTCTTCTCAGCACAACTTCCTTCCTTTATTTTTTTGGCTTTAACAAAGCTGATCCAAGTTTAGCAGCAAATATTCCTGAAACAGCCAGATCCACCCATGAAACTTTGCTTATGTGATTGAGCTATGCTGGTCTAGGTTGATGTTGGGGGTTATTTCAGCTGACTGCCCGCACATGATGGCAAGTGGCAGAGACAAAGGTGATTCAGAGATTAAGGATGAGGCCAAGGGACAGAAATAGAGTCAACAGGCTATACAACCTATACTGAGTCCTTGAGGCCAGAACACGCAGTGGACTATGTGCAGTCGTTTGGCCAGGAGGTGGGGGCAGCTGTAGGATAGGGAGGCTTTGTGAAGAGGATGGTTTAGTAGTGGCTGGAGGCTGGTGAGGAAGCAAAGAATAAGCAAGGAACTTGTCAAACCTGGTGAAGCAGGGGTGGGGCTGTTTCTGCATAATGCATCTCCCCTGCTGTTCTCCACCTCACTCCCAGGCCCACAATCTATCAACAACTACCACCTCACTTGAAGACCTATTTAATTAACTAGGTAATAGGCAGGCAAAGAGTCACATACAGAGAGAGAGAGAGAGAGAGAGAGAGAGCGCTTCTATCCATCAGTTCTCTCCAAAAGGCCTGCAATGCGCAGGGCTGAGCCAAGTCTGAAGCCAGGAGCCCAGATCTCAGTCTGGGGTCAGATACTGGGGTGCACATCAGAGGGCAGCAGGAGTCAGTAAGAGAGCTTAGACTGAACTCAGTCTCTCAGATCTGGGCATCCCAAGGAGTATCTTAACAACTGCACCTTATGGGTTTCATGAAACTGTAGTCAGAAGATTGAAAAGGCATCAATCAAATGAAAGCAAATTTCAGGCTGGCACTATGGATCACTAGGCTATTCCTCCGCCTGTGGCACCGGAACCCCGGGTTCTAGTCCCGGTCGGGGCGCCGGATTCTGTCCAGGTTGCTCCTCTTCCAGTCCAGCTCTCTGCTGTGGCCCAGGAGTGCAGTGGAGGATGGCCCAGGTCCTTGGGCCCTGCACCTGTATTGGAGACCAGGAGGAAGCACCTGGTTCCTGGCTGTGGATCCACGAAGTGCGCTGGCCCCAACGCACCGGCCGTAGAAGCCATTGTGGGGTGAACCAATGTTAAAAGGAAGACCTTTCTCTCTGTTTCTCTGTCTCTCTCTTTCTCACTGTCCACTCTGCCTGTAAAAAATAAAAAAAAAAAAAAGCAAACTTCAATGTGAGATTTGAATATGTTCTGAGGAGTCTGGCTCGTGGTATCAGAGTTACACAAATGAATGTCTTTTTAAACTCTAACATATATGATAAAGTGAGGCTTGGAAGGATGTGGAGACAGATAGTAGAATTAAGATTTCTGGACTCTAAGGAGAGGAATAACTTACCCGCATTTCTTCTCACAAGTCAAACATGAAGGGCTGGAATTGTTGTACAATGGGTCATGACAGCATCCCAGCTGCTCCACTTCCAATCCAGCTTCCTGCTAATGTGCTTGGGAAGGCAGCAGTACTCAAGTACTGAGTCTGTGTCATCCACCTGGGAGACCTGGATGTAGTTCCTGGTTCCTGGCCCAGCCCTGGCTGTTGTAGCCATTTAGGGAGTGAACCAGTGCATGGAAGATCTCTCTCTCTCTCTCTCTCTCTCTCTCTCTCTCTCTCCTTCTCTATTTTATACTTATTGCCTATAGTTCTGCCTTTCAAATAATAAATCTTAAAAAAATTAAATGTGAATATTTTCACACACAACTGGTGGAATACAAATAGGCATGACTTTTCCAGGGTGTGTTTAGTAATATGTATATCCCAGTTCTTTAAATGTACATGCCCTGTGACCCCATAACTTTGTGTTTAAGTTAGTTTCTAGCAAAACATGCAACAGTACAAGGCAATTACTTTTTAAAGTAGCAAAAAACTGGAAAATAAGCTAATTATTCAATAGCAAGGGGTTGCTTAAATAACTTATGGGTGTACCCATGTGAGTAATTAGTATGATGGTTTTTAAATTGTGTCTTAGTGGTGATTGTTGTGGTGCAGAGGGTTAAACCACCACAGGCTTCTTAGCCCAGCCCAGGCCTGCTGTGGGCATTTGGAGAGTCAACCAACAGATGAAGAGCTGTCTTTGTCTGTTGCTTTGAATTGAAATATTTGTGTTTTACATGAATACATTTAAAGTGAAGAAATGCTTATTGCTTATTAGAAAAGAATAAAGTGGGGCCAGCACTGTGGTCCAGCAGTTTAGAGCCCTGGCCTGCAGCACTGGTAACCCATATGGGAGCAGGTTTGAGTCTTGGCTGCTCCACTTCTGATGCAACTCTCTGCTGATGGCCTGGGAGAGCAGTGGAAGATGGCCCAAGTGCTTGGGCCACTGTACCAGCATGGGAGTCCTGGAAGAAGATCCTGGCTCCTGGCTTCATCCTGGCCCAGCTGTAGCTCTTATGGCCAATTGGAGATTGAACTTGTAGATAGAAGACCTCTTTCTCTGTCTCTACCTGCCTCTGTAACTCTAGCAATAAAATAATAAAATAAATCTAAAGTGGAAGCACTATGTATTGATACAAGCTTTGCTAGTAAACATAATTTATCAAAAAATACTGGAAGAAAATAAACCGAATTATTTTATAGTGGAATGGCAGATATTTAAAAAAAATTAAAAACAATTTTACCTGAAATAAACATGAACTAAAATGGAATAATCTTTCTTTAAAAAATAGCAACATATAACAGAACCTTTCTAACAGAGAGGGAATTATTTAAACCAAGAGCTAAAGAAATGAGTTCTGTCCCTTGTTGTATAAACACACAAACATTTTGCCCATCTCTTTAACTGGTGGTTTGCTTTATATCTGTTACCTTTCTGTTAATGACATTCATCTTGTTTTCCACAACCATGTGTTGCTCAGCTTTTTCAGTCCATAAATATTGGTTTTGGGTGCTATTTTGCAAAGAATGCTAAATGGTTGATTAGTTGAAATGGAGGAAGACACAGCGCATGACCCTCTTTCCTTTCCTGTAAACAACAGCTTTCATCATTCAGTTTCCTCTACCACTTCACCAGGAGGGGCAGAGCATTTTGAGTCGGAGTATCCTCACTCAGAGGCAGTTCGCTTCTCGTGGTGGAGCCCCTAAGGGATTTTCGACTGGAGTGGACGACTTCTCCCTCATATTGGGGTCGGTTTCTTCCACCTGCATCACTGCACGGCGTGGATCCAGGTAACACCTGCTTTTATTCCCTTGGATCTTAGCACCTGGGTATCCTATTAATTCTACTTATTCTAGGAATATGGCACTGAACTACAAGTGACGTGGCCTGAGAAGGAGCCTGGTAGGAAAACATTCCCTCTCATTGCATTAGAATTGCACGGACTCTGCAGCGTGTCAGAATTGAGGTTCAGCGTCCAGGATGAGTTATCTTCTCTTTCTCAATATGCTATGAGTTTTGCTTTGTGTTATGAACATGAAGAAGAGTGATTTGAGTAGATATTTTTCCTTGGCTCTAATGATTTATGTATCATCCATCCATATTGAAGGATTCTGTAGCAGAAATGTTTCTACTTCCTAGTAGGAAGTTAGAGAAAATGTAAATAAGCATAGAAAAGTTGTAATTAAAAATGTATAAAAGACTATAGTTACTTGTGCAGTTTTTTTACATATTTCCTGCTTCTTAGATATAATCTTCCCTCTGACATGAATCTAAGAAGCAAAGTAAATTTCCAATTTTATTATTTAATAATTTCTTTCTACATTGATATTTATTGCTAGATTAATCCTTAAAAGTCATTAACTGAAGATTACCTATAAGAAAATTTATTTTCACACAAGTTTTGATGGCAACATCATATCTGGGAGCCTAAGAGATTTTTATTCAGCTTATCTTGTACAAGACACTGGACTCTGAAATGTTAACCAACTTGTGATATTCACCCTCAGATAATCATTTGCAGTTGGTCTTTAGATATACTTTGGGCAACACTCTGTTAGAGTGTTTGCAAAGAATGCGAGAGCTTTCAAAGCACTTATATGCATATCAAAATATCTATTTTTTAAGCCAAGGCATTTATACTCTTTCAGAGTGCAGAATTATTGTTGTTAGAACCAACCATTTAAATGTGTTTCATAACTTTGAGATGGTACTAATTTGTCATAATATTTTTATGCATATGTTGAACATTTTGAGTGAAATTGAGTAACTAGGACATAATCTAATGGCAATCTTTTTCTTCTGTTTATATTTTCTGATAATCATGGCAATTATCACTAGGATTATAAATGAGTTTAATGGAAATGTTAACAGGATTTCCCCTTCTTATATAAATCAGACTGTCTGTGTACTTGCAGGAGAAGTTAAACCTGTGTACAGGGAGACGCACAGACGCACACACAATTAGCTCTCACCATCACGTCGGGAATGTTCCTTCAAGCTGCCATTTTGACTTTTCTTTAGAAGCCACCGTGTAGCGAAGTTTTGATGCCAGATATGTTTCTCTTCTTTTAGAGATGAGCGATCAGGAGGTGACTTATTCAGCTTTGAGATTTCCTCAGTCTTCTTCAGAATCGCAGAATAGACTAAGACCTGATGGCACTCGAAGGAGTGGAAAAACTGATGATAAAGGTATATATAAAATATTTTAAAAACAATTTATTCATTTATTTATTTTAAAGGTAAAGTGGCAGATAGGGAGAGACAAAGAGAGAATCACTGTTTCATTACAAATGGGCACAGTAGCCGGTGCTGGGCTAGGCAGAAGCCAGGAGCTTAGGACTCCCTCTTGGTCTCCCACATAGATGGCAGACACCAAAATACTTGAGTGATCTTCTGCCACTTTCTCAGGGGCATTAACAGGGAGCTGGATAAGAAGTGGAGCAGCTGAGACATGAATGGGTATTGTGATATGGGATGCCTGCATTGCAACTGGCTGCTTAACCCACTGCATCACAATGTCAACTCCAGCATGTATATTTTATGCCTCGAAATTCACCTGTCTTTTATGGACTGCCAAATCTGAGGCTTAGAAAAAGTTCATATAGATGCTTCTGATTGTCAAGTGGTTATAAGACACTATTAAGAGACAGATAATAGAACAGAAAACTTGAAAGAACAGTTGGCAGAATGGAGAAATTAATGAATCCTATGAGCAGCTAATAGACTGCTTTAATCAAGTCTGGTTAATATGATTTGTGAAGCCTTTAATAGTAAAACTCAGAAAAATGTCTCAATAAAACATAGCCTATATTAGAGAACTTTTACAAAGTGAAAAAATATGTGTTAAAAACAAAGTTATTCAGACAACACATTTTAGGTGTTTAAGAGTGTATATGTGATGCTAAAGGCCGTGAAGAAGGAAAAGATCTTCATATCAAAGGGACATTCTAATTTTTCTATTCTCTCTGCACCTCACATATTGTCACAGTTTAATCTCTAAGCTGAAAATAACTGTTACCATTTTAGTTGGTGATCATCAATGATACAACTTTTCCAAAATGGTGACATCATAGTAAAAGGATAAATACAGTATTATCTCAAGAAAAACAGGATTGATGGTGATGGAGGAAAAGTGAATTTCTAGAACCTCCTGTCAGGATGTCCTGTGATCCCTTTTGCAACTCAGAATTCAAGACCATTGCCTGCTTTTCCTTTCCATGATTAGCTGTGATCACAGGAAGGACACGTGTCACTGTGGACTCCCCTGTGCGTCGTACATCAGCTGTCTGTGGAGCTTCAGTAGGGGCCTGCTTTTGAAACCCTGAAGAACTATTCCTGTGAACGGGGATTTCTATAATGAGTACATCAGCCAGAAATTTTTCTTTTTGAGATTTATTTATTTTATTTGAAAGTCAGATTTACACACACACACACATACACACACACAGACACACTGAGAGAGAGAGAGAGAGAATCTTGCAGATACTGGTTCCTCCCCAGAGAGCTGCAATAGCTGGAGCTGGGTCAGCCAAAGCCAGAAGCCAGAGGCTTCTTCTATCTCTTCCACATCAACCGGAAACCTTAAACTTCAAAACTGTATTTTATAGGTTAAATTTTTAAATCACTTTGAATGATGTAGTCTTATAAAATTTTTAAAGATCTTCCCTTTTCTTCAAACAGTGTCCCTGATGGAGGTAAGTGGTAACCAGGCTCGCTCGCTCTCTCTCTTTTTTCTTTAAAGAGTTCTCAGTGCCCAGGCATCTCCTTGCAGTGACTCTTGGAATCCTCTGTTTACTTCTCTCAGTGGCGGTCGCAGTGTTGGTGACAAAGAGTGAGTACTGGAGTCCATCTTTCTAGTCTGAGGACCTGCAGTAACCATGCTTTGTGCAGGTACTGACAGTGTTGCTCCCTGTTGAAACTCAGGGGACCTCCCAGAGGGTTCTGGACTCTGTTGGTGAGTTTTTCAGGAACACATCACACGGTGGTGTTCACTCTGCTTACCTAGTTCACTGGCTCTGAAGCTGTGGTGAGCTGTCTCATTCTGCATAATGCACGGGAACATTGCTTTTGGTAGGTTATTGTGTAGGATTCTGCCATTGAGTTGAGATCATTGTCAGTCTGAGAAAAACACTTTGGCTGTTTATTTATTTATTTTAAAGTACATAATAAGGAAACAGTAAGAAGAATTAATATGCACATAGAAGATGATCTGGAATTTAAGCTTTTTTCTTGTCTTTCTCTGTTTTTCTCATCTTAAGGAAAAACATGGATATACTACATTTGTATGAAATCACCTATTTTCAGATATTTCATCTATTCCAATAATAATTGTGTTGTATCTTCATGTTTTTAAGTTCAGGCTACAACTATTTTTTAAATTGAGGTGGGGTGAGAGAGAGAAAGAGAGAGAAAGAATCCCTTCTGGCAGATACCTGCAGCTGGGAGCCAGGATCTCAGCCCAGGTTTTCCACATGGGTGGCAGAAACTCAACTTCTTGAGTTATTGCAGCCTCCTCTCAAGATGCTGGAGTCAGGAGCCAGGGCTTGGGCACTGCACTGTACCCGGGTACTCAGTCGTGGGACACAGGCATCTGTCCACAAACATCTGCCTGCTAGGTTAGGTTTTTATCTTCAGAAGATGTATCATTAAATGTTAACTAACTGAATTTTGATTTGCTACTTCTTTGTAAATGATGTGCTATTAAAATGAGCTGAACTGTAAGGTATGATGTTAGCCACCAGGTATTTTATTTATGCTACCCTTTAGTGGCTATTAGTGAGAAATTTGATGTTTCTATTTCTGTGGTCAGTTCACTGAGGTGTTACTTTCTAAATGTCAAATTACTGAAATAATCATATGAGTTGGTTGTTAAAGTGAGACTTTTCCTGTTGTCTCTAATTTCACAGTTGGACCTCTTGATTGTATTTTTATGATATCTGTGCTGCACGTTTTAGTTTTACAGCTTATTCAAGAAAAGCATCAACAGCAGGAAATTCTAGGAAACCTCACTCAAATGTACCACGTCGTGCAAAATGATGACTACTTAAAGAAGCAACTCTTGGCAAATCAGTCTTTAGAATATGACACTCTCAAAAATAAAACCCTTCTAATGGAAAATGCACTGAAGTTACCCTTTTTAAAACAGAATGGACGCTGTGCAAAAAAGGATACCTTCCCGAAATCTGTGCACAATCCAGGTATGGAAGAAATCTGGAAGGATTCACTGTGTCGTCTTGGTCATTTCTTCCCTTCTAGAAGCCTTGAGGTCTAATAAGCACACTTATGCCTAGTGATCTGTGGCTCCACTGGACAGCTTTGAATTTGTGCCTTTCAGATGCAGGGGGTTGGAATCCCTGGAACCACATTTGCATGTGTAGAGCCCTGTGTTTCCCCAGACTCCATGGCAGTTTTTGCCTCCTCTCTATTCCCAGATGGTGAAACAGTATGCCAGACCCCTAGCAATTCAGCTGATCTGGCCCTGTGAGACTTGGGGTGTTGCTCACATAAAATGCGGAGGCTTTCAGTAAAAATATTACCTACAACGGGCGCAACAGTTTTATTTGAATGCTGCTATAGAGATATGTTGTGGTATGTGTGTGTGTGTGTGTATGTTGGTGTGTCTGCCTTGACTTCAGATATTTGTTCTATATGTGACCACCAATACCAGTGTAATTTTAAAGATTCATGGAAAATGCACCTTATTAAACAATTATACAGGGATTTCAAAAATTGGCACCCAAATAAGCTTATATTTTCATGAACACTTTTTCTTTTTTTCATGAGCTTTTGAAAGTACCGTAATAATATACTCCCTGCATGATATCTGCGAGATTTGTCATAGTGTTGACATTTATACAAACACCCAAGAGATAAAAATATTAAATCTCATGCAGTAAGTACTAAAATGTTGACTAATGATGGAATGAATTGTCCAGACTTATAAACAACCAGTAAATATTCATATATTTAAAATAACTTTTGTATATTTAATTATAGTACTTAGTAGACATTTAGTTTCTATTTATAAGTTTTTATATTATAAATATAAATATATAAAGGGTAGATAAATGTTTCTACATATAATTTTAGAGATTTTATTTTAAAGATTATTTCTTTAAAAGGCAGAGTTACAGAGAGGCAGAGGCAGAGGTAGAGAGAGAGAGAGGAAAGGTCTTTCACCAGCTGGTTCACTCTTCAGATTGCCAAAATGGGCAGAGCTGGAGCCAATCCGAAGCCAGGAGCCTGGAGCTTAATCCAGGTCTCCCACAGGAATGCAGGTAGAAGGACTTGGTCCATCTTCTGCTGTTTTTCCCAGGCCATAGCAGAGAGCTGGATCGGAACTGGAGCAGCTGGGACTTGAACTTGCACCCATATGGGATGCTGGCACTGCAAGTGGTGGCTTTACCCACTAACCAGAGAGATAGAACCAGAGAGAGAGAGACAGAGAGACAGAGAAGCAGAGAGAAAGGTCTTGGCCCCATGGCTGGAGCCAAGCTGAGCTGAAGCCAGAAGGCAGGAGCTTTTTCTGGGTCTCCCATGAGGGTGCAGGTGTCCAAAACACATGGGCCATCTTCACTGCTTTCTCAGGCCATAAGCAGAGAGTTGGATTTGAAGAGGAGCACCAGGGACATGAACAGGAGCCCATATGGGGTACCAAGGCCTCAGGTGGACGCAGCCTACTACACCACAATGCCGGTCAGCAAAATATATTTTTAAATTAGAAAGCATCCTAAAATATTTTTTTAAAAACTTAGATTATTTTAATTATTTTGAAGCATCCTAGAATATTTTTAAAACTTAGACTATATTTTATTATTTTAAAACATCTTTATTGAGCTATTATTAGCATCCAAAACTGCATAGATTAAATATACATGATTTGACGAGATGGACACATGCATCCAACCATGACTCACTCTCCACAATAAGGAAAATAGACTTTTATATCACCTCCCAACGTGTCCTTATGTTGTTCACTTGTGGTAAGAACACTGACTGTGAGATCTTTAAATTTTAAGTGTATGGGCCGGCGCCGCGGCTCAATAGGCTAATCCTCCGCCTAGCGGCGCCGGCACACCGGGTTCTAGTCCCGGTCGGGGCACCGGATTCTGTCCCGGTTGCCCCTCTTCCAGGCCAGCCCTCTGCTGTGGCCAAGGAGTGCAGTGGAGGATGGCCCAGGTGCTTGGGCCCTGCACCCCATGGGAGACCAGGAAAAGCACCTGGCTCCTGGCTCCTGCCATCGGATCAGCGCGGTGCGCCGGCCGCAGCGCGCCGGCCGCGGCGGCCATTGGAGGGTGAACCAACGGCAAAGGAAGACCTTTCTCTCTGTCTCTCTCTCTCACTGTCCACTCTGCCTGTCCAAAAAAAAAAAAAAAAAAAATTTAAGTGTATGATACAGCGTCCCTCACCGTGGGCACTATGTTGTACTGCTGATCTCTGGAACTTATTCCTCACACATAACTGAAAGATTACACTCAGAGCACAGAATTTTCCATTTCCCTGCCCACCAGCTCTGGACAACCTCCTTCTATTCTGTCTTCCCATGGGTTTGGCCAGTGCAGATACCTCAGAGAAGTGCAATCATGAGGAGTTATCTCCCGTGTATTGGTGTCTCCCTACACTGTGAGACTCTTGTCTTTTCAGACTATATCCTCACAATCTAATGCAGTAGTAACTCTTTAAGCATTTTAAGAGAATTATTCTATTGAAAAATTTTTGTTCAGAATAAAATACTTGGACATAGTATGGGTCTCATTTAATATTTTAACACATAAACATGGTGCAAACCAATCACATTTAGCCTTTTCATTTCCTGTCCTTTCTTTGTGTTTGGAGCCCACAAGCTCCCCTCTTCCAGTTCTTCAGTGATAATTTATCCTGGTGAAGTTTAGTCACCCTACTGACCGATGGAACACTAAAACTTGATACTGCACCTGACTGTGTTTTGGGACTTAGCTAACCTCTCTCTACACATTGCCAACTTCCACCCTCAACCTTAACCAGCCTCTAGTAATTATTATAGATAGATTTGAGCCTTTGTGTCAGTTAGGGGTGGCTGATAAACATATTGTTCTCATTCACAGATGACTAGATAATAAGAAATTCAATGACTGTCCTCACTTGTTGTAGGTAAAGTCCATGAAGTCTACTGGTCCTGTTATGGAGTAAACTGCTATTATTTTGTTCTGCAAGATAACACCTGGGAACAATGTAAACAAACTTGCCAAAGTTACGGTTCCTCCCTTTTGAAGATTGACAATGAACATGAACTGGTATCACATACTTCTGCATGTACCCTCAATCTCATGAATGTGTCTCTTTCCTGTGACCCAAGATGCTGCAAAGGGGAGGGTGGTCCAGAAAGAGGGATCTTCAGCTGTTCTTCCTATTGTGTGGGGAAGATTATAGAGTTCAGAATCTCCCTGGAAACCCTGTCTGCTAATAAGCATATGATCCTGCTACTCATTGAGTGTTCAATGCACATGATCTATTATGACGATGATTAGGAAGGGTGAAGTTTGTAATCCTCTCTCTCCAAGGAGTCTGCAGTAGTGCCACTTAACAAGAAAATATGCCTTTCCTTGGAGGAAGTACTTATTTGAACCTTTGGTAGCCTGTACCCTAGAACCACAGTTATTTTTTCCCTATGGGGTGGCAAGCAGTGGGGGTGCAGCATAGTCTAGGAGCGCTGGATCAGAAGAGGAGCATCTGGGACTAGAACTGGCTCCCATATGGGATGCCGGCGCTTCAGGCCAGCGCCTTAACCCTCTGCACCACAGCGCTGGCCGGTTATAGTACATTTTAGACATTTTTAATATTCCCAAACACTTACTCCCCCCCTTTTATCTCTTCCAACTACTTACCTAAAAGCAAGGCTTTCTTCTGTGAGTGAAGAGTGTAATGCACACCCCCCACACAATCAGTTTTTATTTTAAGAAGTTTGTTTTGAAGACTTCTTCTTTCATTTAAGGTCATGCAGTGCCACCTTCTCTACACCATGACATATTCTTTTGGAGCATGAGTCTCAATAGTTTTCTGAAGTGCCATACATTATTTAACAAATTTCTTATTTGTAGGTATTTTAATTTAAACATTTTCCATGCTTTAACTAATTCATGAGACTGGCAACCGATTTTAATGTATATAAATAATCTCCTAAGGAAATGTTCTTTGGAAAATGAAAATATAGGCCTTGTAGAATGAGAGATTTTTCTATGAATCAGGGGTGAAGGGTGTTGTGGAGAGCGGCAGAGTACTGGCCGTGGATACAGCTTTTGTCCCTCTACCTGTCTGTCTTCTCATTCTTCCAACAGAAGGGAACTTATTCCCATGATGTGTTTTGTTTCCTTTGTAGGCATTTGTTCAATTTCAGATTCCTGAAAATATGTATTGGATTGGATTGTCATATAGTGATGTGGAATGCAAATGGAAATGGCTTGATGATGCCACATCACCTGGAATGTAAGATTCTGAAATGTATTCAGACTCTAACATTGGTGTGGGAGTTGGAAGGATTGTGTCTAACAAGTCATTGCTCATTTCACAGTTTTTTTTTTTTTTGAAGTAAATTCCATTTAATAAAAGAAGAATTAGGAAGAAAGTATTTTAGTAAGTGGTGTTAATAGAGAAGAGATATTTGGCATTAGTAATGATAAAAGCATACCAAACACATGCAGTATGAGTTATGAAACACACAAAATGAAACACAGTCATTGTTTAGGTAAATATGAAGTGATTGTACCATCCTGACTAAATAGTAGTTATTCCTGGCATGGGCGCTGTGGCATAGTGGGTTAAGCCTCTGCCTGTGGCACCAGCATCCTATATGGGCACATTTCATGTCCTGGCTGTTCCTCTCCTGATCCAGCTCTCTGCTTATGGCCTGGCAAAGCATTGGAAGACAGCCCAAGTCCTTGACCCCTGCACACACATGGGAGACCTGGAAGAAACTCCTGGCTCCTGGCGTCAGATTGGTCCAGCTCTGTCCATTGTGGTCATTAGGGGAGCAAAGCAGCAGATGAAGACCTCTCTCTCTGTCTCTCCCTGTCTCTGTATGTAACTCTACCTCTCAAATAAATAAATAAACATTAAAAAAAAACACTCTAGAATGGTCTTGAGCCCTCCATTTAAGCAAAAGAGAAAAAAGAATAATCTCACCTAAGAATTCAGAATCACAAAAAAAAACCACCACATATGTACTCCTGCCTCTACTTAAGCCTCAGCCTAAGTGTGAATCTACTTTCTGACTGATGAACATATTCAAGGAGGTGCAGCATCTTATTTATCTATCATTTTAACTAAGTAGGAAAGTAGTTCTGCCACCTAATGAACCTTTTTTTTAGATAGACACCATGCTTTGATAGTTTTCTGTGGACTGCCATGGTTTTGCTTAACTACTGTTTGTTGATGGGGAAGACAAAGAAATAAACCAAAACATCAATCAAACTATCTAATCTCTGACTGTATTTCATTCTGTTTTTTTCTCCTTAAAGTATATTTTCATGAGACCTGGTTATCTGTGTCACAGAAATTCAGTTCTACTTTTCAAATTCTCACTTCTATTAAACAAATAAAATAAGAAAGTAGGTTTGGTATATTATGATCCCAAAGCCATTTTGCAAAGTAATTTTTCTGCTGACCAAAAGTTCAGAGTGTGGAACAAACTGGGAGATTTTAGGTAAATGTCTTTAATGGGCTACGAATAAAGAAAATCTTTCGATGTTGAAGTTATGAAGAACATTTATATTTATTAGGAATTTAAGAAATAGAATTTAAAACGTTCATGAAGATGTCATTGGAAAATTCGGATTTAAACAGTTGACCTTTGTATTTTCTGTTCTGCAGGAATTTGAAAATGATGAGTTCACCTCCTAGGAAAGAAAAATGTGTATTTTTGGCCACAACAAGATTAGCATATGGCGATTGCTCTAGAACCTACAGTTGTATCTGTAAAAAGAGAATTAATTGTAATTTCCCTTCTTCAATGTGCACTTAGAAGAACAGGTAACATTGGAAATGCTGCCCTGGTTTTCTGTCGTGTAGTAATTTGGGGTCACTGCTAACACCTGTTTCTGACTGCAGGGCTCAGTGCAGTGTGGACACAGGAGCTGGAAGAGGAAGCACATCTTCTCCTGAGCCCTGATCAGGATGCCAGGCGCCATCTTCTTCCTGTGGGGAGTGGGAGATTCATCTTTGGAGCAGCTGTTCCTCTATTGTGGTTCTCAGGCATCACTCTTCCCGCTTCCCTGAACAACCCGGGACCTGTTAGAGCATCCTAATGCGTGGCCTCGATCTTTCCTTATCAATAGGATAAAACATGTCAATGTTATCAGACCGTGGAAGTACAATTAAGAACTAGGATATAGTTATATTTTTACTATGTAGAAGCATACCTCGTCTTTAAAACTATTTTGTTATAGAATTTAAATTCAAATTTACTGAATAGTTGAAAGAATACTACAAGACAGACCCATGCAACTTTTACCCACAGTTATCAGTTATTTGTATTTTGCTGTGTTTTCCTGTTTCTCTTTCACATTTTTCTCATTGTCGATCCATCTGAAAATAAATTGAAGATATGCCCTGGTTTCTGAATATTTTTGAAGAAAAGGACTTTGTCTAATATAACCATGCTGCAATTATGAAAATCAGGAAATTTAGCAATGATACAGCATAATGATTTAATCTATAAACCACATTCCAATTTGTCCATTGTCCTAATATTGTCATTTATGGGTATTTTTCTCCATGTTCACAATAATACAATGCATTTAATCATCATATCGATGACATGTCCTTTAATCTGGAATAAGTGTTTAAATTTTCTTTGTCTTTTGACCTTGAAATGAAAAAAACTCAACCTTATTGAGTTAGACTATCCATACAATAGAATGTCCCCATTTTAAGTCATGAGGGATATAGGTTTTAATCTGGTTACCTCTCACACGCTAGCAAATCAAAATCTAGAACATCTGCATCAGCTCCAGAACTTCCATTCTGCCTCACTCCAGCCACCTGGCCCCTGTCCACCAGCGATGCTCTTCTGTTACTATCAGTTTGTTTAGCTTATTCTAGAACTACATGCATCCTGTGCATTTTTTTTTTCCTGCCTGCTTTTGGATCAGCATGTGCTTAAAATTAATCAGTGGTTTTTCATGGATCAGCAGTTCCCTCTCTTTGTTATTTAGTATTCTATTGTTCAGCTAGAGCACATCTGTTCACTCAGTTATGGACAGTTGATACGTTTCTCATTTTTGGCTACTGTGAATAAAGCTGCCATGAAATTTATGTGTGGGTCTCTGTGTGTGGGGATATATTTCTGTCTCTTTTTAATAACTATCTAAGAATCTGATTTCTGGATCATAGGTAAGTACATGTTTAATTTGATAAGAAGCTCATATACTGATTTTTAATGTAGTTACATCATTTTACTCTCCCAGTAGCAACAAATGTGAATTCCAATTGCTCCCCATCATTGTCAACATTTTCATTTTAGCTATTGTGGCCAGTGTTCAGTGGCATCTGGTGTTTTTAAATTTATATTTCTCTATGCTTATTCTTAGACATTTTGTATAGTTTTAGTTTACATGGATGGTTTGCATCGATTTCTAGTTATTTTGTATCTGAGAACAGTGTTGAGGCTTATGAGATGCAATTGTTTTTGCACTGTTACAAAACCTTTCCTTTTTCCACTGGATTACTTTGGAGCCATTGCAGATCGCTTGCTCTCTCTTTTTGTCTTCTTTCTCTCTCTCTCTCTCTCTCTCTCTCTCTCTCACTCACTCTGTCTCATTCTCTCTCAGTAACTGTGCATTTTAAATAAATAGATTTACCTTAAGAAAAAATAACTAAATAAAAGAAACCCAAATCATGGTGACAGGGCCACATGCCCTCTGTGACCCTGTGTGGAATCCTCCCTTGCACCTTCCTGGCATCTGGTGGTAGTCACCTAACCTTGATCCTTGGTGATGCTGCTGCTTCTACTTCTTTTTTTTTTTTTTCCAAAAAAATATCTATTTGAAAGGCAGAGTTACAGAAAGAAAGATTGAGAGAGATTTTCCATCTGCTGGTTCACTCCTCAAGTGGCTGCAGAGGCCACTGCCTTCTCAGGCACATTAGCAGAAGCTGAATTGGAAGTAGAGCAGATGGGCATGGAACCATCATGCATATGGTTTTCTGGCATTGCAGGCTGCAGCTTAACTTGTTTTGCCACAATGCCAGTCCTCCATTGGTGCTTCTTGGCCTTCAGAATGCCTGAATTTCTGGCTCTGACATCTCACATCACATTCTCCCCTTGTGTCTCTGTTTTCACAGGTGGGTTGCTGTCCTAATAAGGACACCAGTTATACTAGATTAGGGTGCACCCTAATGACCTCATCTTAGCTGAAGTATATTTCCAAAGACTCTATTGCATAAAAAGCCTGTACTCACAGGTATAGAGGTTGGGACTTAAATAGTTTTTTGAAGGACACAGTGCAACCTATAAGAATCATGTTCATTTACCACCTGTTTACTTCTGGAGAACCTGTAGTCACTTCCTTTCTAAGATCCTGCCGTGTAAGTGGCTTCCTTCTTTGATCAGCACAGCTAGAGTTTATATCAATTTTACTGTTTTTTTTTTTTTGATGAATTGGTGTTTCTTTTCATTTATTCTTTCTAGTGTTTGTCCATTATATATCTTCTTTATTTCATTTTTTCCTTTCCTTTTACTTTGAATTTAATTCCTTCCATCTTTCTGGCTTCATATGTGAAAACTTATATTTTCTCTCTCTTTTTTCACGTATAACTATCTAAAGACAAATTATTTCCCTAAAATTGTTACAAAATTTTTTGTTAACCCATGTCGTAAAAGTATGCTGTGGGAGGGGGAGCACTGTGGCACAGTGGGTTAAAGTTCCAGTCTGCAGCACCGGCACCCAACCTGCCTACTCCACTTCTGATCCAGCTCTCTGCTTTGGCTTGGGAAAGCAGCAGAAGATGGCCCAAGTCCTTTGGCCCTGAATCTGTTTTGGAGAAGCAGAAGAAGTTCCTGGCTCCTGGCTTCGGATTAGTGTATTTCTGGCTTATGCATCCACTAGGGGGTGAACAAGTGGATGGAAGACTCTCTCTCTCTCTCTCCTCTCTCTCTCTCTCTCCTCTCTCTCTCTCTCTCTCTCTGCTTCTGCCTTTCTGCAACAGTGCCTTTCAAATAAATAAATAAATACTTTTTAAAAGATTTATTTATTTGGAAGAGTTACAGAGAGGTGAGGCAGAGAGAGAGAGAGAGAGGTCTTCCATCTGCTGGTTCATTCCCCAACTGGCTGCAGAAGCTGGGGCTGTGCTAGTTTGAAGCTCGGAGCCAGGAGCTTCCTCTGGGTCTCCTACGCAAATGCAGGGGCCCAAGGACTTGCACCATCTTCTACTGCTTTCCCAGGCCACAGCAGTGAGCTGGATTGGAAGTGGAGTAGCCAGCACTTGAACTGACTTCCAGATGTGATGCTGGCACTGCTGGTGGCGGCTTTGCCTGTTACACCAGAGAGCCAGCCCTAAAATACATAAATAAATCTTAAAATAAAAAGTGGACGTAAGTTACAGTGTTGTTAGTTTCATTTAAGACGTGGGATTCTCCTCGACTGTGTAAAATCATTTCCTTCAGAATTCTTATTTTTGCCACCTCATGCTCCAGAGAGAGATTTGATTATGTCTTTGTTCCCACTGGCTGTTGTGTTTGCCTCTCATGTTCCCTTCAGAATCGTTGATGTTTCTCCAAGGGCTTCTGAAGAACTCTGAAGGCCCAGTTTCACGCTGTAGAAAGTTTGGTTTCTGAATTGGGTCTTTTCACCTCTTGGAGAAAGGAGATCGGACCCCTGGAAGGAAGAAACATCGAATTTCACTTTTATATATTCCCAAGGATTATACTTTGTACCACCTTCGTTGTCTGGAAGAAAATGTGGAGAAATCTATCAGATGCTGACACTCTGTAGCAGTACTTAACTCTTCTATTTAAGGAAACATTATTTAATTATTTAGGAAAATGAAGGTATAGGGAACAGTATTTGTTTTATGTATTATATCATTTCAAAAAGTAAATTTGTCTCTCAGATTTCCTTATGCATATATCTATATATGTGTGTGTGTACTAAGAACCAGACACAGCTTCAGCTAACCTTTTGGATCTTTTCCACTTAGGGAGAGCCTAGGGCTTCTTCCACCCACTTGATGATGTGTTTATGGGTTCTGTTTGTGGAGAAGTAGGCAAGCTGTAGAAATTGCCTCTTGTGTCAATGTTTTATGATTGATAGAGAATCTTCGTTCTCCATTTGGTCTCTGCCACAGATTGTGCATAATTAGATCTTCAAATTAAATTAATAGCTAGGAATGCCTTTAATGGCATCTGTTTGTTAGTTTAACTTGAAGAATCATTGTAGACATAGTTTCTTAGTTATTGGCTTTAGATGTGCAGATAAATAATAAGAGAAAAATTTATACAATAACAAGGTACACTGGGAACACCTGTTGCATTTCTTTTACTAGTTTTTTTTTTTAAGATTTATTTACTTGAGAGGTAGAGATACAGAGAGAGGTAGAGACAGATAGAGAGAGGTCATCCATCTGCTGGTTCACTCCCCAAAAGGCCAAGACTGGGGCTGGACCAGGCCAAAGCCAGGAGCCAGGAGCCAGGAGCTTCTTCCCAGTTTCCCATATAGGTTCAGGGTCCAATCACCTGGGCCATCCTCCACTGCTTTCCTGGCAGCAATAACAGGGAGCTGGATTAGAAGTTAGCAGCCAGGACTTGAACCCTACACTCACATGGGATGCCAGCACTGCAGGCTGGGGCTTTAACCCACTGTACCAGAGCTCCAGCCCTGTTTTACTAATTCTTAATTTTCATTGTTTTGTGAAGTCAAGAGGATTAGTCTTTACACCTTGAGAGTCCCAGGGGCAAATATTGCTATCACTTCTTAGAGATTGTTGATGTCAGTAAGTGTTTTCCTGATTCTTAAGAGTTTTGGATTACACATTTATAAGATAAGGCTAATAATTTAAAGCCTACCTTATAAATTTTATTTTAAGGATTACAGAGCATGTGTGTAAAGTCCCTAATAACAGGATCAGACACAGGGTAGGTGCTACTGTGGTGGTTACTAATGTTATATGTTTTATTTGTAGAACCTTACAGAAAGGGAAAATGTGTTTGTATTTATTATAGTAAGATAGGTTCATGCCTATATAGTTATTCCTATAACTTGTGCTCCAACGTTTTGTCTGTAGTTTTGCTACAGACCAGGCTTATTTTAGAGCTGCAGTCAGTTTAAGCTTATTTCAGTGGCATCCTATCAGTTTCTTATGCAGATGTAATTCTGCTTTGTATATCATTAAAGACTTGCTATCTTGTATCTCAAAGAAGGTAACAGGACATTTCACAGGTTGTCAAAATAAACAAAGTTAATCCAAAAACTTTGTATAATAATGCCCCAACTTTATTAGCTACTTTGTCTAAAAACCTAGGTTCAGTGTCACAAAATTTAAAGAAAGAATGCCAGTGTCATTAGTCCTATAATCATATCACTCCCCTCCTATACTTGAAGAAATCCAGTAAAGCTTAATACCTTTAGGTACCTGTGGCTTCCTACGTCCCGTGGGTTCTGTGGGGGCATTGTAAGGGCTTCTGCAGACCGTTGCCCTTGTCTAAGCCAAGGAATTTCTTCCTGCTTCTCAAGAAGTCCCCATCCTGAATTGTAATCACTTAGTTTGCTTCACCAGTTTGAATGCGTGAGGATGTCACGGTCATTTCTGACTCGAGTTGTCATTTGGTCCACTGCTTTTGGAAAGCAGTTTGATAATAAGCAGCATAAACTGTTAGCAGTTTTCATTCATCTTTGACCTACTAATTTCATTTCTGAGCCTGTCTTCTATAGAAATATTCTCCAATATTAGAAGATTGTATTATGCACAAGATGCTCATTGAAATATTATTTAGAATTGGAAAATAAACTACCTAAGATAATAATTATTAAATCAATTAAAAATTTTTAGTGAATCATTTTTGATTGCTGTGGAAAAGTAATATGAAAAAGGGTACAGAATGATTTTTGTCATTGTAAGAATAAGTAGACACCAAAATATGTAGTTACTGCATGAGATTGGTGGCAATACAGTATTGAATATATTTATTAATAGATATATATTTTATTTTATGTTTTACATAGCTGTTACTTCCCTAAGGAGAATATTGATGAAGAAACTATTTTTTTCTTGCTGAAGAGATGTTAATTTTTCAGTTGTTCAATCTGTTTTTAGTTGTCAGC